AACGTAGAAAAATATCTACGTTTTGGCAGATCCCCGGCTACGTGTGGACAGGGCCTGAGACCCAAGCTGGCAGGAGGAACCTGTGTGCAGCTTCTGAGCTTTCACTAAGTCTGAAATAATTTCATAAGAAGGTCTTTTTTCTTTTCATTCTGTTGTCAAACGGTGGAGGGAAACATCTAGGGGCAACCGTTAACGTACACCGGATGTTTATTTTTTCATGTTGTTTGAATAAAAATGTCGCTTTGCTGCTTTGAAAAGAAACCAATAAAGGAGAAAATCAACATCAGTTTTTCATGTGTACAAAGCCCGGACCACACTGCGTTTTTCGGCCGTCCCCTTGACGAGAACAGAATTGTGACATCAAACGTGAACGTGAGGGTGATTTGCAGGTCTGTGGCCATCCAGCGCGACCGGTGTCGGCACCAGATCGGCTCGGGGTCCCGCGTCTGCCAAATACGTCAGAGTAGATGATTGGCTGAGCGTAAGACTTGCGGAAGTTACGAAACCGCGTTCGTAAAAGTTACGTTAGCATGTTGACAATGAAGGTTTTGATTGGTCTGAACGAATTTACAGTTGTCGTCTTAGCGGTTGTAGTCCTGTAGTCCAAAAATCAACACTTCAGAGAAAATGTTTTAATTTCCAAAGAAAATGTAAAATGAAAGCAAAGATATCAACTGATGAACTTAACTTTGAGGAAATGGGGCAAAATAAAGTATAAAAACTTTATTGAAAAGACAGCAAGCAGCATTTTGAGTGAATGAATGAATGTATTTACATAATAATTAAGGAAATATACTGATTTATTCCACATTAATGCAAACAGATGTGGCTTTGCACATAAGAACTGTTGTGTCGGGAGTTGGTTTTATGCAGTTTCACATTCTTTACAAATCAAAGATAATTTGGTGTTTTATTAACAAATTACAATCATAAAGAAAACATTTAGGTGGTAACAAACAAGAATTTATTAACACAACTGCTGATGTCGTTCCAAAACGTAGGTGTGAAAGCCGAGTGGATTGGCCGTAACGTGACGTCATCAGCAAGCGCAGGACCCCGAGCAGATCTGGCAGCCTGAGCAGATCTGGTACCGCCACCGGTTCTGCAACAACTTATTGAGCACCCTCACGGCCAAAATCAGCCTCCAACAGTCCAAGCACTGCTGGAAAAACTCCCCTCTGCAATCGACCAATGAAAATTCACCCAGGGAGTGACGCAGTCCAGTCCAGCAGTAGAATTAGCAACGTTACGTGCGGGAATGTGCACCACTCCTGCAGTTGGAGTTTGGTTCGTAGTCCAATAAAAGAAGTATCAACTGCGGCAGCTTTATCAGCGTTGTTGTCTTGGTTAGCTGTCTTGGGGTGTGTGCCCGTGGCGTAACGTGTCCTGCTAGAGCCAGACTTGGTGCAGTTTGGCTCACTGTGCCACCTCTAGAGCTCTCACAGTGTGACCCGAGCAGCCATGAACTCAGTGTGGTCCGGGCGCAGGGTCAGGATCACAAAGGGACTCAGCAAACTGATGAAAAGAAGCCGGACATGTCTTTTTGTACAACAAGTGATGTCTAATAGACAAAGAAGCTAGATGTTCTCAAACCCAAATGGCCTGAAGTGCATCTCTGGTTCTGGGATTTTTAGAGGACATTATTAGGTGTGTGTGTGTGTGTGTGTGTGTGTGTGTGTGTGTGTGTGTGTTTGTGTGTGTGTGTGTGTGTGTGTGTGTGTGTGTGTATTTAAGAAAAGTTAACGGATGTTATTGTCATCATTAAGAGCTTCAGCTAAAAGATATTTGGCTTGTTTCACTCCTAAAAATCTTTTCTCCAATGTCTCCTCTTAAACTTCTTAGTCACTGGGAAAGGACAAATTCATGCATCAAACCCAGAAAATGTTCTGAAGGTAAACCAAAAGACCCATCTCTCTAATATCAAACACACCTAATGAACTCCAGCGATGTCTACATCTCACGTTTCATGGTAAATTGTCCATTTTTGAGAGGAGACACATTATAGCTGCGTAGGTAGTTGTTTAATTAGATCAAAGTGAAAAATCTGTAAAACTGCTTCACATGGAACCTGACCACAAATGCAGTGCTGTATCAAACGTTTGGATTTTATTACAAGGATTAAAGAAAAGGAAAACACACGTTGGATAAACCCGTATTACTAAAAACAGCTGTGGGTAGAAACAAGCTGTGTTTTTATATAATTATGTGAACAGATGGTCATTTCCTACATGCTACTTCCAGAAGAGGCAAATGCATAATAAAGAACGATAGTTTTGAGCGACACGTCAGACAAACCTTTGCTGATTTATAGATAGAAAATATACATGCATCATGAAAGCTGAACCTTTAAAACCAATCTTGGGAGTTGTTCACACAAGCTGACGCACGCACACATGCAGGAATTTGAGCAGCAACGTATCGTCTGTGTGACCACTTCCTCTTCCTCGGTGTGGCGAGAAGGAACCTGACACCCTCTGTCCTGTATGAAAACGCCTTAGTCATCACTAATATGAGCACGAATATCAACATTTAATAATCACAAGGGGACCACAGAGGTCAGAGCCCGGTCTGAGGATGAGTAAACACTATTGCACTTATTGTTGCAGGTGAGCAGAAAGGAGAAAGCTCCAATTCACTTATTGTTGACATTCGTCTTTTTGCCGACAGCTCTTGGTGCTTCTCAGTCGGTGCACTGATGAATTTAAGGGGGCAAATGGATTTAAACAGCATTAAATGTACTTTTTACTTGTATGTGGCAGTAAAGTGTAACTGTAAATATAACATGCATCTGTAGTGATGCATGTGCACACTGTCCACACACAGAGCAGTGGGACGGGGAAGAGGGAGGATCAGACTCAGACACGCAGCAGAGCACACGCGGGCGGAGGGAGACGAGAGGGAACGAGGAGGAGGAAAAAGGCGAGGGAGAGGGAGGAGAGTGCGACCAAGACGGTGAGAAAATGAGCGCCAGCAGTCGGAAAGTTGAGATTTCTTAAAGTGTTCAGTTATTAAATCCATAGAAATAATAAATATTTGATATGTTGCATTTTTTTACATTAGTAAATCATTTCACATATAGTTTTGTGTTATTTTTGGTGATAAATGTACTCTACGCAACAGAAAATCTGAGGAGCCACTTGGGAGCCGAAAGCGCCGGCTCTTTTTGGTGAGCTGGGCCAAAAGAACCGGCTCTTCCCGTCACTACGGGAGGAGACCTGACGGAAGACCCAGGACTCTGCAGTTCTATTGAACCATTTAGAACGTGGGTTTACCCGGATTTCTTTGCACGGCAGGCACTATGTAAACACCAAGATTCAGGGCTTTTATTTAGACTTTAACAACCAAACAAAAAGGCAAATGTGTTTGGGATGGTCCATGTCTAGTTTTAATAATAACTCTGTACAGTTAGAGCGCCTGGCAGAACATCAGTCAAACCTTTATTATAGTACCAATACAATTCACATAAAAAGTAAAAGTCTCATCAAATAAAGAAAAGCCCAAACTTTACATGCTACTGTAAAGGCTCATGGGAGATTTAAAGTGATAATCCACCTTAAAACATCTGAAGTTTGTGAAGTAGTTCATTGATACTGTTCTCTGAGTGTTGTCCAATGGTACTAATAAACGTACGTGTATGTGTGTGCGTGTGTGTGCGTGTGTGTGAAAGTTTGAGGCTCCTATTTTGAAGGGTTACAAAAATGGTTAAAATTAATTTATACTTTGTTGATCTCCTTGGAAGGATAATTTCTCTAAAACGTTCAGGATTTGGTATCTCGCCCAAAGATACTCAAACACAGGGCTGGCCTGGAGTCAAACCTCTCACGTTCAGATCAGAAGACAACCACTCCCCCGCAGAATTAGTCATGAGATGGAGCCTCTTATCTATAAAATGCTTCTAAAGCTTTTCATTGAAACTTTTTCTGGAATTAGTATGGCTTTTGTCTCAACTTTTCATTTTGCTCAGGAAATATTTCAAAAATTTCTCAGAATTTCAACTTTAATTTTGACTAAACTCGCCTTTAGCATCCTTTTATGCTGCCATTTGGGTCTCTACTGCCTCTATAAACACTCCAAAATTGAAAATACTCATTCATTAGTTTTTGTCAGCATTTGTTTTGGGGAATTTTGTTCCTAAAACCAGCTATTTCAAAAAGTCCCCGTTTGTGATGTCACAAATGCAGAAATTTGCATACCTTTCAACCAATGGAGGAGCTGCAGCACTTCTTACTCTGAGCTCCTCCCAGATATCTGAGCTTCTCAGCTTACAGCAGCCAGGATGGGGGTGGGGGTGGACAGCTTCAGCATGTTTTCTTAAAGTGACAGAGCCCTGAAACAGCTCATTTTGGAAGGTACTGAAAATGTCAAGAATGAAATTGCTGTCAAGATAAACATTTATTAATGTGCAAAATAATTCATTATAAAGGTTTTCTATCAACCATTGTACTATTAGGACCCAAAAAAGGAGCGAACCTCTGGAGAGTTTCATCTTACTTCACTTAAACATGTTTAGTGACTGTTATTTCTGTTTTTTATTATTTTGATATCTATTTTATTTTTCTTTAATTCCCCGCTTGTTTAATATGCTCAAAAAATTCATTTTTGTTTCAGTTTAATCCATTCATTCATTCATTCATTTATTTATCCATTCATTAATTCATTCGTTCGTTCGTTTGGAAAAAAACACAATCTTAGTGAAAATGGGCTGTAATTTAGACACAGCAGTGTGCAGCATTTGATAAAGTAACCGACAAGGCCAACGCTGCCAATTGAGATGATTTGTTGAGTTCCGGGAGGACCGACCTTCAGCTTGAACAGCGCTGAGCAGAAGCAAACACAAGTTCTGAGGTGCAGGTCTTCCTGAGCATGCACTTTAATCCTTATCGCAAATGCACCTTAATACACACGTTTTAAAGACATGTGTGATGTATAGACCACACAGACAACATCGGGGGAGTGCGAGCACGCATCCATCCCCAGCTCTGCAGGATGGTGTGCACTAAAAGATTACAGGTGCAATCAATCAGGCTGAACAGGAGCAGATTTGTGTCGAAATCAGTCATAAAATCAGATTTAATACAAGACAACTCAGATCATTTATAAGCCTGAACTAGAGGAGGAGAAACGCCCAGGAGGTGCAGACTGAGACGGGTCCAATGCTGCCACCCAAGCACGCTGCGCAGTAATGCGCCAGGAAACACGGGTGGTGCGCAGATCCTCCGCCAGAGGGCGCACTAGCACCACCTCTCCCTCTCCCCGTCTCTCTCTTCTCAGTCTGTAGCAGGGGATGCCGGAGTCTGACTGCAGCTCTACTCTTCTCATTCATGCTGAGCGCGGCTCTCCTGTGCGCACGGATCTGCAGAGCTGCGCATTGGAACCGGTGCTGCAGCTGCTGTCTGACGAGCTAAACGGGAATGTTTGCTGCTGCGACTCTACGATCCTGAAGAAAACATTTCTTTAAAATAAAAAAAAAATCATGCCAAGCGGGTCCAATTCAAGCGGCTTAATCAGTAAGTAACCAAACTTTTTTCGTGGTTTTCCTTTTAGCTCCTTTACCTGAAGTGTTGGTGACGTCCCTCTCCTCCTCCGACATCTTCCTTTCTTCATCTGTAACTAAACTCCACATGGACCAGCACGCGCTGCTGCTGCAGCCGCTCATGGGAGATTTGGTTTTGTTTGTTTCACTCACGCGTCTTGAAATCACCTGGCCGTCGAAGCACGCACGCCGGGGCGAAGCAGCCAAACGCACGCCGGGGCTGCGGATGGGTTAAGTTTTACATGACGGAACCTCGTCCTTTTACCAATATTTATGCATGTATGTTTTTACTTTTAGTGTTTTTTTCTCTCTAACTGAGTGTGTCTGTGTGTGAGAATGTGTTGGTTCACTTAACCGTGAAAGAATTGCGATGCTTGAATCCAGAGTGGAGCGTTTCGGGTTGTTGTGTGATCCTTTGGTACGTTTCTGACTTCTGAGAATGTTGTTGCAGCTTGGAAGTGGCGGCGTGATTAATTTCTTGGACATAGTTGTGCTTTATTGTGGTGAATATTCACCAAAACATCAAATCAACTTGGAAACACAAGTTGCGCTCCTTGCGCGAAAACAAGATTCCACGCAACGATGTTTAAATCCGCGCACACCTGCGTTTGCTTAGGGGCAAAACGTGTGCGCATGGGTTTGTTTTTTGTGTGCTAAGTTTTGCACTCATGTGGTGTTTTTCCTGTCATAAGTGGGCACGCTGCCCTTTACCCACCTACTTCAAATCATCCGGGAGTCGCATCAGCATGCGCTGACAGTTTTGTGTCACCTTATGAATTTTTGACTTGTGATGCGTAGGTGCGGGACGATGTGAGGAGACTACGGGCAACAAGCCACCGGTGTGGCTGCCAAGTGCACAGAGAGAGGAAGAAAGATGTCTTTAAGTAGTGTGTGTGTGTGTGTGTGTGTGAGAGAGAGAGAGAGAGAGAGAGAGAGAGAGAGAGAGAGAGAGAGAGAGAGGAGGAGAGAGAGGAGGAGAGAGAGAGAGAGAGAGAGAGAGGAGAGAGAGAGAGAGAGAGAGAGAGAGAGAGAGAGAGAGAGAGAGAGAGAGAGAGAGAGAGAGAGAGAGAGAGAGAGAGAGAGAAGGAGAGAGAGAGAGAGAGAGAGAGAGAGAGAGAGAGAGAGAGAGAGGGAGAGGAGAGAGATCACCTCTTTCTGAACATCTGCTTTCATCTCTGAAGGTTTGAAGCTTGTGAGGATGAGTGAAGCGGTGGAGAAAGATGCAGGGGACATGAGGAGGAACTCCCCCCTCTCCCTTTCTTCTAAGTTCACGTGTCATGATGTTCCTGGCTGGGACTGGTTGATAACGCTGGAACCTTGAGCATCCCCTCCACTTTGGAGCAGAGGCATGACATCCAAAGTGACTGCACACATGGTTATGCTGACACGATGACTAGGGAACACGTCAGTTCCTGTTCCACCTGCGAGCACAAAGAGTTTTCATGAGGCTTCAGCCCCACATGAATCACAGAAAGGACTCTGGCAGTGGCGATGTGCTGTTAGTGCTCTGAGCTGCCTTTAACCTAATTACCTAGTTTATTCTTGGAGTCTTTTATTATTCATTTGCTCTTAGGAGATGCTGTCCCCTCCTTCTTGCTCTCCATGATCAATTTTTTTGTCTATAGCTTAAGGGTGCTCTATCCAGCTTTCTGTCAAAGGGACTTCAAGTCTGTCACTTCCCACGCGAGATTTAATGCATCTCATATTTAGTTATTTAGTTGAACTTATTAAACCTTCAGTTGCACCTGCCGGATTAGAAGTAGGCTGCTGTTTAATCTGGAAATGCATGCCGGTGTGGGTATGACAAGTCTTGGATCAGTCTGAGTTGACTTTTTGGTGCGAGTTTTAAAAGTGGAGTCCATTGTAGCAGTAAAGGTCTTACTGGGTTGAAGCAACGTGAGTGTGTGTGTTGGAGTGTAGGGAGGGAGGGGGGTTCTGCTGGAGCTGATTCTCCAGCCCTCAGTGCCTCTGACCCCGACTGAGATGAGAGCTGCAGACTATCGACAAAGCACCCCGCGGCCCGTCTGCTTTCAGGTGGCCCATACCTGGAGTGGCTAAGAAACGAGTCCGGGGAGAGGAGGCTACACGGTCACAATAGAGCTCAGTGATGAGTATTTTGTCTCATGAACAGCCCGCGACAAGATGTGTGGTTAGAAAACATCCACAGGAAGTAAAAGTAACATTAAGCCAAGCGGTTTTATTCAGAGGGCCTCCAGGAAACTGCACCGTTAGGAGTGGAGGAGCTGGAGTGGCGACCCAGCACCCTGAGAGCCAACTTCCTTCACGTTGGTTAGACTTAGAAGTAAACTGATATTTCACAGCAAAATGTCAGTTTTAATTAGATTTACTGGTTTATGAACAGCTTCCAGTCTTCTAATGAAACTCTAACCAGTGGAGTGTTTAATAACAGCTGTTATTTACCGCAATCATGGATTTAATATTAAACTATTCCGATTAATATTGCATAAGGAGAGGGAGAGTACAGTTCGAAAAGTCCTCTAAATTCTGCTTGTTTTACTGCATTTGACACTTTAAAGCTTGTTCTTTCTTAAAGTGACATAGCCCTGAGATGATTTATTCTGGAGGGTACTGAAACTGTCAAGAACAAAACTGCTGAAGTTGCGTTATGTGAGAGGGTTTTAGTGCAAAGAACTTCATGAACATGTTTTGAATCGACCATAGAAACATTTTAAAACAAAAAAAAAGTCATAATATATCCCCTTTAACTTGAGCTAATTGTTATATTTACAGTTAAGGAGCACTTATTACACTTATTACGGTAATAATTCTCTAGCATTAGCACGTGTGGTTGTTCACCATCTTGCTGTTATAGTTCTAAACGACTCATAAAAGGAAGTAAAACGCCACGATTGAGTCATTATTCACCTCACACACATTTCACTGTAATATCAAATTGTAAGTGAAAGAGTAGCTTGAGGTATTTTTGGAGCAGACTCTTTCTAATTCATCGTTAGCTCAATGTTAGCTTCTAGCCTGCTTCACCTGATATTAGAGTAAAACCAAAAGATGCCGTGGCTTCTTATGGGTACAAGAAATAGCTTCTGGGTCGCTCCTGTTGGCTGGCTTCGGTTCTTTAAACAACTCTGGAGCTTTTTGCCAGCTGGTGTCGGCGCTGCAGCTTTAGCTCGGTGCAAACTCTGCAACCTCATACTCAGAGTATAAATTGTAACTATACGTCTCTCTTTAACCCTTCTGAAAAGAGAAAACTGACAACCTCCCAGCCAACTGAGAAGGCAATCTGTTGAAATGTAACCTTCCTTCCAACATGCTTGAGATTTTTGACTGTTTTGGGATTTTTTTATTGTAGAATTCTTACAGATTCTTACTTTAAATCTTAGTTGAACAACGTCTGACACAAAAAGCAAGGTGATGAAGGCCAAAAGTGCACAACATTGTTTGCTGCAGATCTTACATTTTTATTTAAATGTAACACTAAGAATAAAATCATTTATTTGAGAATGAGGAACTGGAAGGAAGAATTTGTGAACGAGGGAAGCTTTTAGGTGTGTTAGCTTAAAAGGTTTCTGGAATTTCGTTTGAGATATTTAAAAACAATAAACACCTTTCAGAATAAGAATTAATCGGCACATTTTGGCAAAAAAAAAACCTGCCACATTCCTCTTTGTTATAAAGGCAAGCAGCATGCTGAAATAATTAACATTACAAACATTATAAGATTCCTGTTCCAACAGATATTTAAAGTGTGTTTCTCATCAGTCAGAAAGTGTTTGTGATTTTAGTCAGTGGAAAAACAAAATAGAAAAAAAAAACAATGATGGCAGAAATTGGAAAAGCTTTAATGTTTCTTTTATTTATTTATTTATTTGATGCAGCTTCCCTATAAAGAAAGGCTGTGACAGTTCGGACGGCTCAGTGGAGACGACTAGCTTTGTACAAAACTCTTCCATGACTCGGATGTGACGGCTCGTCTCCCAGATATCAAACGCTTGCTTATTAGTTAATGAACTACCTGCAGAAATGCTTTTGTTTGTCGTTAGTGCCTCCGTTATACGAGTTTCTGTTCAATAGAAGGCGTGTGGGTGGGTTATCTATTGTCCTTTATGTGAAAAAGTTTTTTTCACTCTATTGGTCAGCAATTAGGAGTTTCAGCAGCCATTTTTCTCCGCTTCTGTAGAGCATGCAGCTTGTGTTTGTTGTCCCGAGTGGTCAATTTCTGCCGTATGTTCTGTGCTGTCTGAGCAGCTGAGGCAGCAAAAATAATCAGTTAGTGTACTGTATGCATCTTTTTGGGTATGTGTGTACAGATGACCCACATATTTAACCCCCAAAAATAAATATATAATTAATACATATTTAAAAATCACAGAATTTGAGCCCAGTCAGCATATCTCCTTGTTTCGTCCCCGCACACGCTTGCCCATCCTCCCCACCTATTTTCTCTCCTCATATATAACCGGGTCAAGGTCAGAGTTAGAATGCTTCATTCTTGTTTTTTTGTTCTTCCTGTCCGTGTTTTTTTAGATGCAGATCTGTCTTCTCTTATCTCCACGGCTGGTTAGACGTTCCCTGGGAAGTGTGGGAGGGAGGAAAGGGAGGGGAGACGCTTAAACGGGGGAAAGATGACATCGGGAGCGATAAAGCTGCTGCAAGACTACTATTCCAAGGCATCGTACTCTGTGCACATAATTTGAACAGCAGTTTAGTTTTCTGACACGTCTAAGAGGATCATAAAACACTGCGAATAAATGCAACTCTATTACATCTACCTCTAAATGCTGCCGCGGAAAGCATCAAAGTCCACCCGTTCAGAAACACATTGCATCAACTCCGAAAGGCTTAGGCAAATATGCATGTTCTCGTAAAATCCTCAAATTTAGCCACTTCTCCTAAAGAAAATAGCTCAGATGAACATGTAGAGATCCAAAGGGAGGTAAATGTCGGTTTAAGAGCAGCTAGAAGGAAGTTGCATTATGCTGAGGAATGAGAAATTTA